TATATTGAATCTTCTTTATTTTTTGAAGTATGCCATGAAATATTTCAGGTTTTCATTTTAACACAGGAAAATATGTTTTCTTGTTTTTTATAAATAAATAAAAATAAATAACACAAATAACTAAAAGTAACAAAACCAAAGACGTTACATTCTTTCTGCATTCAAAAACGAAAAAAAAAAAAAAAAGCAAAAGATAGTAATATAATGGCATTTTAGGCTTTTATGATTCAAGAAACACGCCGTCAAGTGTGGTAGTGCAACAGGATTTTTTTTTTCTTTCTTTTTTTAGGTAAATTAACATTTCTTTGTAAACCAGCCATGCTGTGTAGTGTAGGTATCATCTGGCTCCTTCAAGGAAACTGTTTTTAGAGTGTATTTTCCTTTTCTTCTTTTCTTACATGGAAGCATTGTAGAGGATGTGCTTGTTGAGGGAGCATCATCTTCATCCAGGGACTCAAAAGAACTGTCACCAGCTACCTCTTCTCGGACGGGGTGATAATCTGGATCCTCTATTGCAGTGGTTCTCAAACCTCTCCATGAAGTACCCCCAGCTCTGCACATTTTGTATGTCTCCCTCTATCTGACACACCCACTTCAGGTCTTGCAGTCTCCAATAATGAGCTGATGAGTTGAATCAGGTGTGATAGATGAGGGAGACACAAAATGTGCAGGGCTGGAGGTACTCCAGGACAGGTTTGAGAACCACTGCTCTATTGGGTCATCAACATCACCGAGATCAGCATCAGAGTCTTGGGGGTTTTCTGATACAAGGGCCTGAAGAGTGCGCATTCTTGTACAATAGGAACGGTTGACATCCATCTAGTAATTGTAAAACAACAACAACAAACAAATAAATAATCTCTTACAATTTTAGTAATGTTAGTACACCAGCATTTGTCATTTAAGAAGTAATTGCCTCTGATAATTATGATTTCTACACATTAATTCTATGAATTCATTATATTTACTTCAAAAAATATCCAAAAGTGGCAAAAAAATACATACTTAAGAAATTATCTCAGTATATTCATGACGAAATAACAATAGCTGTGTCATTCATAGCTATGGATGATCAGAGGTTTATATTTCTCAGCAAATAGTCCATTCTGACTGCAGAAATGAATGATCTGAAAATATTAGCTTAGCTTTGTCTACGTTTACCATAAAGTGACAAATCAACCGTTTGGTTGAGCACGTTTTTGAACAATTATTAAAAACATACTAAAGTTTTTTCATGGCACCAAGTAACATCATTTTGTAAAGTTAGGGCTCTTACAATGTAATATGTCAAAAAAATATGCTTACCTTGCCAAATTTCACCAAGCTTTACGGAGCTCAACGGCTCTGAACGGCTTCTTCTTCTTCTTCTTCTGATGTTTATTGGCGGTTTTGGCAAACCAATTTAAAGGTGCATTAGCTCTGAACGGCTCTAGCCCAAGCTGTGATATAAACGAAAAGGGGCGGGGCTGCTTGATATGTCCCGCCCTGTCTTCCTGTTTCAGTTCAAATGACGTCAACACATAGAGTAACGCTGCATGTTTCTAAGCATTTCAGGGGACCTTTAAGTTAATATTTCAATAGTTTAACAACACATTTGCATGTTTATGGTTCTCCGATGTTGCTTATTGGTCTCATGACATGCAAGTAAACGAATAAAATATTAAATATTTTTAGTAAGTGTTTTATTTTGAGTGTTGTTATTTTAAAATGATTTCTTTTCATGTTTACGTAAAAGAAGTCTGTCTTTTCATCAACTCATGAACCCCTTGCGAAGCCTATAGTTTGGCTGTAGTTTGAAAACTATCGCAGGACTGGTTCTTTAAAGCAGTGGTTCCCAACCCTGGTCCTGGAGGCACCCCAACACTGCACGTTTTGCATGTCTCCTTGATCAAACACACCTGATTCAGGTCATCAGCTCATTAGTAGAGACTCCAAGACCTAAAATTGGTGTGTCAGAAAGGAGACATGCAAAATGAGCAGTGTTGGGGTGCCTCCAGGACCAGGGTTGGGAACCACTGCTTTTAAGAACCCAGAAACAAAACACTGATCTGAAGAACCTGTAATGAGACAATAAGAACTCAGCTGGAAGAAATGGGTCTTAACTAGAAGAGGGTTCTTTCTGAACATGAAAGAAGGAACCAAAATGACGAGTCTTTATTTTGTGTATTTCTCTCCATCAGCTCCTCTATTGTTTCAGTTTCCAGGTTCTGTCATTGCATCTGCCTCTAATCACATCTCACCAGTTTTCTCTTTTCTTTGTTTTGCATCTTATTTTGTCTCCTCTCATCTTCCTGTCTCATCTCTCACACTCTCGTCTCTCTTCTTTCTCTCATGCCATCTCTTCTCATGTCGCGTCATCTCACTTTTCTTCTCTCTTGGTCTTCGCGTTTTACTGTGTGCAAAGAACCTGATACTGTTTTTTTTTGTGAATCTTAAATCATTTCCCCTTTTAATATCGTAAATGGAATTTTCAATGGGTTAGGTTTAAATTTCTCAAAAACAGTGTTCATTTATGGGTATGAATACTCTCGCAATAAAAAGGAGATTTGCACTTTTTCCAACTTGCTTGAACAGGCAAAATCAGCTATCTGGAAGACTGATAGAGCTGAAATGGAAGGTCAGGAAGTCAATAAGGTCAATGTGTTTAAGGCATTAGTTGAATCTAGGATTCGACTGGAATATGAACACTAGTATTGAGTGAACAGCAATGAGCTGATGTTTGAGAGTAAGTGGTGTGTAAATAAGGGTTTGTGGAGGATGACAGCTCTTTTTTAACTGGTAGTGGGTTATAAAATGAGTTTTTTGTTTGTTAATATGTTTTAAATTGTAAAATAATGGTCTCTCATTTCCTTTGTGTTCTTGTCTCGTCTCTCATTTGTCTCATCTCCTTCTCTTTTCTTTCTCACGTCTCTTCTTCTATCTTCTGTTCACAACTTTTGTTATCTCTTTTCTTTCTCGTCTTCTCATTTGGTCTCAACTTTATTATTTCTTCTCTTCTTTCTCAACTCGTGTCATCGCTTGTTTTCATCTCGTCTCATCTTTCTTCCTCTTTTCTGTTCCTGTCTCATTTTGGCTCTTTTTCCTCTCAACTGTCATTTCTCTTTTCTTTTCTCGTCTATTCACATCTTCTCTTCTTCTAATTTGGTCACTTCTCTCCTCGTTTGGTCCTATCTCTCATTCTCTTGTCTCTAACTTATATGATCCCATTTCTTTTCTTCTCCTCTTTCTCAACTTTCATCATCTCTTATGCCATTTTACCTTCTGTTCTTATCTTATTTTGTCTCTTTTCTTCTCATTTGGTCTCATTCTCTTTTCTCTTCTCATCTCTTTTTTTCTCAACTGTTATTATCTCTTCTCTTCCCTCCTTCTTTCTTCTCATTTGGCCTCATCTCTCGTTCTTTTCTCTCAACTCTCATTATGTTCTTTTCTAATCTCATTTCATCTTCTATTTTCTTCTCATTTCTCATCTCAACTTTCATTATCTCATTTCTTCTCTTTTATACACATCTCTTCTCTCATCTCTCAGCTTGTATTATCTCTTCCCCTCTGTTTTCGTCTAATCTTTCGTTTCCCCTTCTGTTCTTGTCTCATTTTAGCTCTTCTCCTTTCTTCTCATTTGGTCTCATCTCTCATTCCCGTGTCTTTTCTCTTCGTCTCTCCTCATCTCTCTAGTTTGTGCGGTCTATGTTTGGTCTCTGTGCAGTGCGTCCCACCCACTCGGCCCTACAGTGACCCCTGGCTTCCATCTCTGTTCAATCCTCCCTCCTTCCCTCTTTCAATCTCTCCATCCGTGTCTCTCTCATCAGGAACTCCTACATGTCCTGTTGTTCATCACTCCTCCTCTTTCATACTTTATTCTGCCGCTCAGCACAAACAAACACACACAGACGCTCATTTACATCCAGCAGCTTTGCCCCGTAACACCCACATCACTAGCACACACTGCTTCTTCTTGGCATCGCACACGCTGGAAGTGAGGGATATTTATAAGATCTCTGAATTGTAATCATCTCTGGAAACCTGCAGAAACACGCTGTAATGTGCAAATTGAAGCAATGGGGTTTAACAGGCGATTTTGTTCACATTTGCATTATTAGACGTTTAAAACATTACAATTTTAGATTATTCCTTCTCTAAAGAAAGAGAATGGTCACAAATATAAGTTCACACAGAACACGCTTTTGTGAGGTACGGAACGAACACAAGGAAAACAAGTTTATTAAAAGTTAAACTTTTAACTTCTAAAAAGTATTTTTTTACGTAGTGAATCTGATTGTTTTCATTTACTTCTTATGGAAGAATAAAAATAAAGGTAATTGTGACTTTTTATCTCACAATTCTGACTTTTGTTTCCTCGGAATTATGAGAAAAAGTCAGAATTGTGAAGTATAAATGCAGAATTGTGAGATTTAAACTCACAATTGCAATTAACTCACAATTATTTTAAAAATCTGAATACCTTTTTTTTTTTTATTCTGTGACTTTTTTCAGAATTCTGATGTTTATATTTTGCAATTCAGATTTTTTTTTTTTTGTAAGATAAAAAGTAGCAGTTACCGTTTTTATTTTTTATTACATGGCCAAAAAAAAATAAAAAAATGCGAGATGTAAACTCAGAATTCTGACTTTTTCCTTGCAATTCCGAGTTTACGTTGTGCAAATCTGAATTTATGTCTTGCAGTTCTGACTTTTTTCTGAGTTCTGAGTTTACGGTAATTTAAGGTAATTGCAACTTTTTATTTCACAATTTCACAAAACTTTTTCGTCGCATTTCTGAGTTTATCTCACAATTCTTAAAAAAAATTCAATAGTGGAAGTGCTGGAAACAGGTTTCCATATGACTTACTTTGCTAGTTTTATCTCATGTTAAATATGATTTTATACTCTATCTAACATAGTTCTCACAACAGAACATGGTTTGTGCATGTGAAATACATTGAAAATGTACGTTTTTTTATGTTACTGATGAAAAACATTAATAATCTGTCCTTGTCTCTCAGACATTCACGGCATGGTGTAACTCTCATCTGCGTAAGGCGGGAACTCAGATCGAGAACATTGAAGAGGATTTCAGGAATGGCCTCAAACTCATGCTGCTGCTCGAGGTCATCTCAGGTAACGACGGGAAGATACAGGAAAGACCTCCATTATACTGATATATTAGGGTGCATTGATCTAGTGAAGCAAACGTAAGGACAGAGACTGATTAACAGAGACAGTTTAACACTACAATCACTGATATTTCATGCCACAAGTATGAAGTCGTACGCTGTAGCAAAATCAGCTGTCGTCTTGTACAGTCATATTTAAAAGGTGTTTGTGACTACAGACTGAAGCAGTGTGCAATGAATGCAGCTCATGATTCATGTAATGCTTATTTTATCCTCAGAGGACAGACGAGTAGTCATGTACTACATTTGTGGTTCATTTTCAATTTTTGAAAATAGTGTAAAAACTGTGTATTTAAAAAATATTCAGCTGTTTGTTTTACATGTCAGAAGTAGGATAGAAAGGGCGGTAAGAGTGTTTGGGAAACCTGTTTGGAAACAGTCATTATTTGTGCAATTCCACTAGAGCTGCACACTTCACCATCAAAATAATGATCAATTTACCTCGATAACTGACACGAGTTTGGTCTGATTGATCGGCAGGTGAGAGACTGCCCAAGCCTGACAAAGGAAAGATGCGTTTCCACAAGATCGCCAACGTCAACAAAGCTCTGGATTATATCTCTAGCAAAGGAGTCAAACTGGTGTCCATTGGTGCTGAAGGTGGGAAACTTACACTAGTATTGCTCTATTGAGACTACTAACTAGGGCTGTCAGTTTTATAGTTAATTTAGTGCAATCAATTTTGTTCACCGAAAGAGAAATAAAGAAAATATTATACTGATAATGTAATCTCTTAAATTATTTTAGTTTCAGCAAATACACCATTGTTTAAAAGTTTGGGGTCGGTAAGATTTTTAAATGTTCTGCTCACCAGGGCTGCATTTATTTGATGAAAAATACCGTAAAAACAGCAATATTGTGAAATATTATTACATTTTAAGATAGCCATTTTCTATTAGAATATATTTTAAAATGTAATTTATTCCTGTGATGCAAAGCTGAATTTTCAGCATCATTAGTCCAGTCTTCAGAAAGCACATTTCTTATTATTATCAATGTTGAAAAAGTTGAGCTGCTTATTATTTTTTCAGGATTCTTTGAAGAATAGAGTATTAAAAGTATTAAAGTATCAATGTCTTTAAAAAAAAAAAAAAACTTACTGAGACCAATCTTTTAAACAGTAGTGTGTATGTGATTAGTCATGGTTATTAAATTTTTTACCATTTAATTAATTAGAATAAATGTTAATATTTAAATTGACAGCCTACTACAAACTAACAATATATTAATAAACCATAACTAAATCGACAGCCTAATATAAACTAAATGTGTAAACCGTAACAATATTAACCAACTTCGTCCAAAATTCTCTCTCTTGCTCTGCAGAGATTGTTGATGGCAATCTGAAAATGACTCTGGGAATGATCTGGACCATCATTCTCCGTTTCGCTATCCAGGACATTTCTGTAGAGGGTACAAACAGAGACATTGACGACACAACGTGACTGGTCATGTTACTAATTAAACACTCATTATCGCTTCATGTGAATGGTTTTCTGTTGTGTGACTCCACAGAGACGTCTGCTAAAGAGGGTCTGCTGCTGTGGTGTCAGAGGAAGACGGCCCCCTACAGGAACGTCAACGTACAGAACTTCCACATCAGGTGAGAGCGATGACAGGCACAGTCAAATCTCAAGAGAAAGTTCAAAGAAAGTTCAAACAGATTGAAAGTTCAGAACAGCATTTATTTGAAACAGAATCTTTTGTAACATTATAAATGTATTTGCTGTCACTTTTGCAGAAGTGAATGCATCCTTGCTGAATAAAAGTATCAATTTCTTCCCCAAACAAACAAACAAACAAACAAATGAATAAATAAATATATAAAACCTTACTCCAAACTTTTGAATGGTAGTGTATATGTGATTAATTAATGGTATTATATTTGATTGGATTAAATGTAAATGTTTAAAATGGACATCCTAATACTCATTGTACATGTAAATCATACTACTTTTTTTGTTTTACCAAATATAAACAAAGTTCTCAGTCAAATTTCTTTGTGTTTACTTTATGCTGTCTTTATGCCTGTCAGAAACCTCTGCAATTCAATTCAACTCACATGTGTTTGAAAAGCATTCTTTATTGCACTTTATATTCAGTTGTGATACCAAATACTATCAACAGCAATATTGTCAATATTTATACCAGTACTTATATTTTTGTAAAAAGACATTTTTTGAAAGTCATCACTTACAACTAATTAGATTTGATTTATTAACAATTAATTTTTCATTAATTTCAATTTTTAAGTTGAATTTAGTTTAAATTAAATGAATAAAATTGTCAAAAAATATATATAACTTTTAGCTTCATTGTTTTGATACTGTTTGGCAATTGGCATCACATTTATTTATTTATTTATTTTACTTCAAAGTTTATGATAAGCATTAGTTTTCATGCTAAACTTTTCATACTTACACATGACTAGTTTAAAAACACAGATTTATTAATGTATTTATTTTTATGGTAACTCTTAACAATAAGGTCCCATTAGTTGATGTTAGTTAATGCATTATCTAAAATTAACAAAGGTTAATAAAAATACTATAAACTGTTCAACTGTCAGCTCGTGTATATAAAATAATATTAACAGATACAACTTTTAACTTTAGCAATGTATCAGTAAATGTTGAAATTAGCATTAACCAAGATAAATCAATGCTTTTTAAGTATTTTTCATTGTTGGTTCTTTTTAACTAATGCATTTAACTAATGTTACAAATGGAACCTAATATCTTTCTTAATGGCTGATCAGTACTCTCTGAGAGGTTTTCTAATATGTTGTCTGTGTTGTTGTCAGCTGGAAGGACGGCCTCGCTCTGTGCGCCCTCATCCACAGACACAGACCAGACCTCATCGACTACTCTAAACTCAGAAAGGTGCCGCTTCTGTCTTTTCTACCAGTCACTCGCTCTTCAAATCTTTTACATTTATTCCCTGTGTGCAGTTTTATGCCAATTCAACACACAGTGTTTTCATTTCAATCCTCTTAACTCAAAAGGTTTATCCTTGAGTCCAAAGCTCTTGTTTTATCCAGTCAGATTATGATTTGCAGGCTCAAACGATTGATTCAGAAACCTCAAATTATTCATTATAAAACTGATAGTCCTATATAAGGCACTGTCTACAAATAGAGTACAATATAAGGCATAAAACTCTTAAAAATGACAGCATGTGTCCGTAATGCTTTTAAAAAAAAAGTCACATAGCAACAAAATGTACCATAGTGATGGAAAGTGCAATGGAGTGAATGATTTTGTTGATCCTCTGAAGGACGACCCTATTGGAAACCTGAACACTGCGTTTGAGGTGGCAGAGAAGTACCTGGACATCCCGAAGATGCTGGACGCTGAAGGTGAGTCAAAGATCATCTCTGAAATCAATCCTGTTCTGGCAGACGAGATCCTGTAATATACAATATGAGTCTGTTTGACAGAGCCTGTTTACTCTTTATGCACATGTAAAGTAGCGTTTAGTATAATTTGAGCTTAAAACTTGAACTTGCGTTTGGCTTGCTCAGTTGGGCTTTAAAAGACAATTAATATTCGGTATATTATTGATTCAGCTGCACTGATGATATTGGATGAGTGCAAAACATGAACTGAATTGAGCTGAATAATGACTAACTTTGTAACATCAATACTGTTATTCAAATTAACTAAATTAACATTGAACCGAATTGAGTTGAATAACGATACTAGTGTGTTCTGTAGAGCTGCTTTACAGTTTAATTGAATTTGTCTCATAATTGATGAACTTTGCAATATTGACACTGTTATTGATCTGAATTGAATCAACATTGAACTGAATATTAATTGGCTTCTGTAGAGCTGAAATTTAATTTGTTTCATACATGATGGATTTTACAACATTATAACTGTTAATTGAACTGAATTGAGCTGAATATTAATTGGCTTCTGTAGAGCTGAAATTTAATTTGTTTCATACATGATGGATTTTACAACATTATAACTGTTAATTGAACTGAATTGAGCTGAATATTAATTGGCTTCTGTAGAGCTGAAATTTAATTTGTTTCATACATGATGGATTTTACAACATTATAACTGTTAATTGAACTGAATTGAGCTGAATATTAATTGGCTTCTGTAGAGCTGAAATTTAATTTGTTTCATACATGATGGTGAACTGAATTGAGCTGAATATTAATTGGCTTCTGTAGAGCTGAAATTGAATTTGTTTCATGAATGATGCATTTTACAACATTATCACTGTTAATTGAACTAAATTGAATCAACACTAAACTATAGAGCTGAATAATGATAGCTGCTTTACAGTTTAAATTGAATTAGATTCATAATTGATTAACTTTTCAACACTGACACTGTTATTTTAATGAACTGAATCAACATTGAACTATATTGAACTGAATATCAGTACTATTGGCTTCTGTAACGCTGCTTTAGCGCTGAAATTATTATTTTTAAAATTAATTTTTAATTGTTGAATTTTACAACATTAACACTGTTATTGAACTGAATTGAATCAACGTTGAACTAAATTGAGTTGAGTAATGACACTGTTGTCTTCTGTAGAGCTGCTTGAATTTGTTTGATAATTGATGAACTGAATCAACATTGAACAATATTGAGCTCAATATGAATACTATTATCTTATGTAGAGCTGCTTTAGAGCTTAAATTGGACTCAAATATCATAAATATGACTAGATTTATGATTATAATTTGTGATACCTGTGTTGTGGGATTTTAGTGCTGATTTGAAATGTTACTGAATGTTATTGAAATCTCATCTTGACAAATAGATTTCTGAATTTTCATAGATAATTGTTGGCCAAGATGACCACAGATTTGCTGTAAAGGGATTTTGGTTGAACTCAACTTGATACTGTGTTTCTTTTTGTCCTCAGACATCGTCAACACCCCTAAACCTGATGAGAAAGCCATCATGACCTACGTGTCCTGCTTTTACCATGCTTTCGCCGGTGCCGAGCAGGTAAAAGTCACCACAAGTCAAATCAGATTTGAATGAAATTTCTCAAACTAATGTTTTTCATTATTACAGTGTAAGATGTGTAAACTGGGATCGGTTTGTGTAAATGACTGAAGGAAATTGATTACAGTAATGCATTGAGCTTCCAGACGCTCTCCAGCGCAACGCAGAGTAAATGAACGTGCAAATTAAAGTAAATGAAGTGAGGAGACTTGGATACAGGCGCATTAACTCTAAACTGAATTTGTTATGCTTGCTTTCCCCGTGTCTCTGTCCCCAGGCCGAGACCGCGGCTAACAGGATCTGTAAGGTTCTGGCTGTGAACCAGGAGAACGAAAGGCTGATGGAGGAGTATGAGAAACTGGCCAGTGAGGTGAGCGTCTTTCAGAAGCTCACAGCTAAAAGCCAATGGGAATTTTTGGATTGTTGCTGAAAATAGGCTCTGTGACCAACAAAGGTTTATGATTCTTACACACTTTGTTCATCGTGATAATCTTTCTCAAATTCACACAACTTGCATGTTGAAGCATAAATACAACTGGCAGAAGTAAAAAGCTAAACATCAGTTTGCAAGAGCGCAATCATAAGCACAACGAATACTGTGATTAGATGAGTTTAACTGACTGGCTTGATAATGTTTAATGTCCCCAAAAACCATTCAGAATAGACCATTGACTTCAGGACGATGGCTCTGGAAGTGCTAAGATGCTCACTCGTTTCTGGGTTTTAGGACTCGGAGGTTGAAAACATAGAAATACACGTTTCATACAAATGTTGGTTGAAATAGTCCATTTTAATAAATGTGACCCTGGAGCACCTGTTCCCTCTAAGACCTACATTGTCTCATGTCTCTATCTCCTCCATCTCTCTGTAGTTGTTGGAGTGGATCCGTCGCACCATCCCGTGGCTGGAGAACCGCGTGGCGGAGCAGACCATGCGCGCAATGCAGCAGAAGCTGGAGGATTTCCGCGACTACAGGCGCATCCACAAGCCTCCACGCGTTCAGGAGAAATGCCAGCTGGAGATCAACTTCAACACCCTGCAGACCAAACTCCGCCTGAGCAACCGCCCGGCCTTCATGCCCTCCGAGGGGAAGATGGTGTCGGTAAGTCACGCAAAACCATCTGAAAAGTTTTTTTTTTTTCGTCTGGCTGTTCTGACCCTTTCAAAAAGCATCTTCTGCATGCTGTTCCTAAGTCTTCCTAACCAGCAGTCTGGTAGAAAACTACTTGTAACTTGACAGCCAATCCCACTTCTAGAAATTCAGCCAATCAGATCAATTGATTTTGATTTGACTAATTGATTATGTTGCGATTTGAAGCTCACTGAGAAACTGTGTTTGTTTGTTTGTAGGATATTGCTAACGCATGGAAAGGTCTAGAGCAGGTAGAGAAGGGTTATGAGGAATGGCTCCTCACCGAGATCCGTCGTCTGGAGAGACTCGATCATCTGGCGGAGAAGTTCAAGCAGAAATGCTCCCTGCATGAGTCCTGGACCACAGGTAACCATGCTTAATTTACACAAGAGTTTAAACATAATGCATAATGCGTTAGCATTCCCATTCCCAAAAATGCATGATCATTTTACACTTTTAAGAGTCAGTTGCTGGTTAAACATCTACTATTGTACAATAAAATATGTGTGATTTTTATGTTGCATACACCACTGTTTTCATATGGAGGTTAAACTCTGAGCTCTTGACACCAGTCTGCCTTTATATGCGGTCACAATTATGCTAATTTTAACAGGCAAAATCAAATCATTTAAATTGCATTCCATGTGATTGGGAATTTCACGTAAGGGCGAACGTCTTCTACATGCAGATTTCGCAAAAAACGTTTATGATTCCTACAGGTTTTGTGTGTCAAGCCAATGCAAAAAGAGTATAAACACAAATTAAAAGAGTTTTTATGAATTTTGAAGCCTGGATACAATCACCAGATGTAAAGAGCTAAAGTTAGGCTATAAACAAACTACATCACAGTCGCGTGAATTTTTATTCAGCACCACTAAGATTCCAACAACGCTTACTTCAAATCTACAAGTTAATTTTGAGTTAAAATGGTTTGCAAGAGCGTTTGTATATAAACACATCAAGACTGTAAAAGTGGACTAGTGAGTAGACGAATTTTACTGCTTGGCCAAAAGATTTCCCCAAACTCGTTTAAACATGAACATACAATGTCTAAAATACCTGGAGAAAGCTATGCGTTAGCATTCCTATTCCCAAAAATACTGGTTCATTTCACACTTTTAGGAGCTTTACAAAAAAATCAGTCATTGGTTAAACATCTACTATTGTACAATAAAATGTGTCCCTGGAGCACAAAAGCAGTCTTAAGTCGCTGGGGTATATTTGTAGCAATAGCCAACAATACATTGTATGGGTCAAAATTATCGATTTTTCTTTTATGCCAAAAATCATTAGGATATTAAGTAACGATCATGTTCCATGAAGATATTTTGTAAATTTCCTACTGTAAATATATCAAAACTTAATTTTTGATTAGTAATATGCATTGCTAAGAACTTCATTTGAACAACTTTAAAGATGATTTTCTCAATATTTAGATTTTTTTGCACCCTCAGATTCCAGATTTTCAAATAGTTGTATCTCAGCCAAATATTGTCCGATCCTAACAAACCACACATCAATGGAAAGCTTATTTATTCAGCTTTCAGATGATGTATAAATCTCAATTTTGAAAAATGATGACACTTATGACTGGTTTTGTGGTCCAGGGTCACAAATATGTGTGATTTTTATATTGCATACACCACTGTTTTCATATAAAGGTTAAACTCTGAGCTCTTGACACCAGTCTGCCTTAAGATGCGGTCACATTTATCATTGTTTGGCCATTTTTTTAGGCGAAGTCCAGTAATTTTAATTGGAATCCATGTGATTTGGAATTTCATGTGAGTGCGAAAGATATAGCAGCAAAAGTTTACGATTCTTACATGCTTTGTGCTTCAAGATCTTCACAAATTAACACATTTTATGAACTTTGAAGCCTAAGTACAATCGGCAGAAGTAAGAATCTAAAGTTAGGCTATAAACGAAGTGCACCACGGTCACATGACAGCATCACCAACACTAAGCTTCCAACAACTTTCAGTCTGTAATTAAAAAGATGGAAAGTTTGCAAGAGGCTGTTAAAGTGGACTAGTGAGTAGGTGAGTTTTACTGCAAAATTGCACGGATCCAACAGAAAACCAACCAACAGAAAGCTGCTTGGTTTGAAATCGACTTCTGTGTGAGCTGAGCTTCATACATCTCTATGCTATAATCATTTCAGAGCGTGCGACCATTCTTGCATTTCTGATTTGACACCTCTGTTTGCAGGAAAGGAGCACCTGCTGTCTCAGAAGGACTATGAGACGGCCTCTCTGATGGAGATCAGGGCTCTGATGAGGAAGCACGAGGCGTTTGAGAGCGACCTGGCTGCCCACCAGGACCGAGTGGAGCAGATCGCAGCCATCGCTCAAGAGCTGAAGTAAGTAACACAGAACGTTTTAATGGGGGAACCTCATATTTCAATGCAAAATCAAAAAACATATTTTGTATAAAAAAAAATAAAAAAAACTGTTTTTGCTATTTTGACGTGATTTTCATTGTAATTAATTCTCATTTCCATTATGCAAAAATAATAAAAAACAAAAAAGTAAATATAAAAAAAATAAAAGTATACAATACATAACATTGTATCTTTTGAAATACAGGAATGGGAATCAGCATTGAGAGTAACTGTCGTTACCCAAAAAAGAAACTCAAAAGTAAAATGTTTCATTGTGGTAACTGAGAATTTCACTGAGAATATGCTTAATTGTCATAAAAATAAAACCACAAAATGGTTTTATTTTTGGCTAGTCATAAACTAGCCTCGTATTCTTAATGCAAAATAAAAAGTCTATTCAAGTGTGCTATAAGTATACTTTTTTAAAACATTCAAAATGAGCATACTTGCAATCTGTTTTTAAAGTATTCATTAGAGATATCCTTAGCAAAATTATACTGAAGTATACTTAGCTTAAAAGTCTATGTTTACTTGGCCTACTTGTACATAATCTTTTGATTTTGAGATATACTTAAAGTATAATTAAGTAATCTAAATATACTTGGCTTGTGTTTACTTACAAGTGTAATACAACAACTAAACTAGTAGTTTACTCACAGTATACTTCAGTGTACGTTCATAAACTAAACCGTGGGCTAGAAGTTTAAAACTAGTAAAAAATAATGCCGAGTTCACACTGCACGATTTTCAAAGTCGTCGGGTCACCGTGGTTTTCACACTGCACGACTATCTGAGGTAGCAGTCAGTCGCTGCTGTGTTCACATTGCACGATGGATCGGCGACAGGAGGTTACACACTGCATGACTTTACAATAGGAAGAATCGCCGACAGCTCTGTCTGGTCCGCAAACTACATTTCACAACAATACACACGCGAGAAGTGATAAGGAAATAACGCGAGAACCCGCGTGCGTCAGACCGGAGTTCTCGAGCCAGGCGTGCGTCAGACCGGAGTTCTCGCAAGCAAGACTGCAATTATTTAAAAAAAAGTATATATATATCTATTAAAATACTGATATTCTGGTCTATAACTCCTCCCCGAACTTCCCTCTGCCCTGTATCTTGGTCTCTCATTGGCTGTAGGTCATCGCCGATGTAGTTTTCAGTCAGAAACCATTGCACACAGCGAGATTGTGAATCGCCGACAGCTCTAGATATTTAGCATGCCAAATATTTCACGGGCGTCGGCGACGCGTCGGAGATTCCCTCAGATCGTGTCTTTGATTATTCACACTGCATGATTGTCACTCGCGTGAACGAGCACCGATTTGCCTCCGATTTCGGGCATTTGTCGGCGATTTCACAAAACCTGTCGGCGAGTGAAAAATCGGGCTAAAATCGTGCAGTGTGAACTCGGCATAACAGTAAATAATATAAGTTCACTTGTAGTATAGTACACATTGTGAACTGATTTTACTTCTGGTTAAAGTTCACTACTGGAACACTTAAAGGTATTATTTTATGAACTAAAAATGTGGGACAATTTAGTCTCAAGAAGTACTGAAATAGTGCACTTATACGTTTGCTACATGCATATTAGTATACCTACTACATATAGTATTCTTAGGAAAAAAGGTACAAAAGCTGTCACTAGGGTGGTGCCTTTTCAAATGTGTACCGTTTAGGAATTAATATTTACATTTTAGGTACTAATATGCAGTGTTGGGGAAAGTTACTTTTAAAAGTAATGCATTGCAATATTGCGTTACTCCATAAAAAAAGTAACTAATTACGTTACTTAGTTACTTTTTATGGAAAGTAACTCCACTGGCCTCGCTCCGTTCCCACGGCTCTCGGCCCCGCCCCCACTCGTCACATACTGAATCTTTTTTTTTTTGTGGGTGAGATGAATTAATGCATATTCATATTTATTTTGAACTACAGTAACATCTTCTGATTTCTCTCAACATGGGGACAGGAGAGCTGTCAATCAATAAATTGAAAAAAAAAGTAACTTGCGTTACTTATTTGAAAAAGTAACTCAAGATATTTTCTTGTAAATTAAAAAGTAATGCGTTACTTTACTAGTTACTTGAAAAAAGTAATCTGATTACGTAACTCACGTTACTTGTAATGCATTACCACCAACACTGCTAATATGTACCTTTACGGTACTTATATGCACCCTTTAGGGGTAAATATGGTACAGTGGTGTACCTTTTGAAAGGGTACTGTCCCAGTGACAGCTTTTGTACCTTTATTTCTGAGATTGTGAGGTATACTTCTTTGGTTTTGGAGTAAGAACCTGGACATTTTCATGGGGTTCAACATTTAAAACAACAGGCTTTATGCAGGAACTCCATACAAGGTGCTCAGTTGTGTTTGACTCTCTGTCTAGTGAGTTAGACTATCATGATGCTGCTTCAGTGAACACCCGCTGCCAGGGCATCTGTGACCAGTGGGACAACCTGGGAACCCTGACCCAGAAGAGAAGAGACGCTCTAGAGGTGCACAAACACTTTACACACTCCAAACAAACTCATGCTACAGTGTGAAGCCAAATATTAGATGCCCACTATAAAGGTGCAACTGGAAAACCAGCCCTAGTATAGTAGAAAAGTACATTATTTGTAACTGGTTCGAGCTGATTCTGCTCTTTCATCGTGCAGCGTGTAGAAAAACTTTGGGAGACGATTGATCAGCTGTACCTGGAGTTCGCCAAGAGGGCGGCGCCCTTCAACAACTGGATGGATGGAGCCATGGAGGATCTGCAGGACATGTTCATCGTGCACAGCATTGAGGAAATCCAGGTCAGCAGTGTGAAGCTTTATGCAAAAATTATTTCAAATATATTTCAAATATTTAAATACATACGCTTAAGAAAAGTATAGTCTCAGTATATTTGGCTTGTAGTTGTGATTAATAATATAATAGTATAATATAAAAGTATAACAAAGTATAATATAAAAAATATTAGACTATTGGTTTACTGAGAGTATACTTCAAAGTGCACTTAAACAAAAAAAAAAAGGCCTATAAGTATAAAACTAGTGAACTAACAGTAAATGCACAAGTTCACTTACAGTAATAACTCACTGTTTAGTTTTACCGATATTTTAGAACTAGTTAAAGTTTACTACACTTAAAAGTATACTTTTATTAACTTAAAAGTGGGCTAATTTAGTTCCAAGAAGTATTGAAACAGTGCTCTTACAACTTACAAGTATGCTACTAGTAAATTCATATTAGTATACTTACTACATAAAGAATACTTGGAAGCTATACTTTAACTTCAAGTTTACTCAAATTAAAGTATACTTCTTTTTTTCTTTTGGTTTTAGAGTAAAATTTGAAATGTGACCTGAATATTGTCATAAGGTTCAATAATGAAACTATACATTACATGCACAAAATTATTAATTTGTTCCCTCGTTTTAGTAAATCGTGGCCATGTTTTTGTATTAAATCAAAACGAGGGAATGAATTTGTACAACATGGCCATGATTTACTAAAACTAGGGAATGAATTAATTCGTGGCCACAATAAATGTATTTTTGTCCACATGTCATGCGAGGCTCTGTAATAATAATACTGGTGCAGGTTTAAAGCGAACACAAAACAGCATTAGAAATTAATTTAACTTCTGTCATGTGATGCATTTCTAAGTGCAGTAGAATATTCAGCATGAAATAATGTGATAATATTTTCAGCACAATGGAAATGTCATTTCTGAGATGCAGAACGTTTTTACTTTTTGATGAATAGTTTTTTTATATGACATGCCCTGATGAATTTGGAACAATATGGCCTGTTTCATAGCAGAGTGTATTTATTTCAGCGCCCACATTTACAGGCTGCATTATTCACATCGCAGGCTGCATACGTAAGCTTCGCATTTGTAGACTTTTAGTGTCTATTTTTGTAGCATGTAACTGAAGCAGAAAACACTGTAATGCACTACAAACCTATTTATCAACACCATCTTGTGCAGTGCTGGCTTTTATGAAGCAACGTGAAACTACTCACCCATTATTAGATAAAAGACATGCACACGAACAGCACTTTCTATTCTGAATAACTGTTTATTATTTATGATGGTTATTAAAGGAAACACTCAGTGAGTAGCCCAGAAAACACGTTATTTTCTGTAAAGAGCAGCAGCTCATGTACAGACGCTTTTTGTGTCAAAGTAAGACTTCACACTGTTCCTGATAGTAGTGTGAGATGCATCTGTTATCTATATTATTATCTATAGATCTATAAAGCAATTAAAGATCGATCTCTTTATAATCGCTGGAGCAGTGCGAGTCTATCAGTGATTTGATTTCTGCGTTTTCACCGAAACTCCTGTTATACACAGTTTACACTGCTCAACGAGTCTTTTATTTATATTGTGTTTTCACTGTGATGGTTATGATGAAAGTAGCCTATTTGTGAGATTGCAGAAATCGCGTTGCATTAAGGAGATCATTAGCTACATTTCCATCCACCTATTTTTATGCGCATTTTGGGATATCGCATAAAAAAACGCTGAATGGAAACGCCAAGAGGAATGTAAATTCAAAAAATGTGCATAAGCACTAAACTGAGTCAGATAATTCTTTATCTGATAAGAAAACGTGCACATAAACAATAGCGGAAACACTTTAACCTAGGGATGGCTGATGCGAAACTGACGTTTCGACACGGTGTCGAGATCCCGAAGCGCAGATGTTTCGAAACACTGCTCCGAAGTGTGATTCGAAACCCCCATGTCACGTGACTAAGGCGAATCAAAGCATCGGGGCGTTTCCCGAGTGTTTCGAGACCCGAATCTGCTTTTGATCGACAGGGTCGGGAGCAAACCACACAATCGCACGTCTTAACCTAACTCCCGCAAAGTATAAAAGTGGAGTTAATGCAGCAGAACAATTCATATATTTGAATAAAAATCTTTATATGTAAAAAATGCCAGACGTTGTGGCTTGATGTCTTTTATTAATGTTATTTTTTTCATGACCAAAATAACATATTCAAAATAACATATAACATAATAAAGAGTTAATTCAGTTGTCAGAGAGATGTTACAAAACATTACAAGAACAGAACATTAAAAACACAACTTTATTTATTATAACTATGCTTCACCCGGGATTCGAACCTAAAGGGGATTCGAACCTAAAGTTACAAGTTCTGACAACATGCCAGTCGAGCACACTAACCACTCCCCCAACCCCATGATGAACTGTCAAATACAACATGTACGTTATAATTCGTCAATTCGCTTAACTAATTCGTTGTCAATGCTGTTTCAGAGCAATACTTGAAAATGACCACTAGGTGTCACCATAGAGACGGGTGTCGAATTGTTTCGAAGCATCGGCATATTTGCTTCGACTGTTTCAGTGTTTCATGTAGCCTCGCTTTGCCCACCACTACTTTTACCAAATAAATTCCTTGATGTGCATCAAAAAATCATGTGAATTTGCGCGATGGGAAATGTTGTTTCGGTCATTCTGAAGCCTGTCGTCAAAATGGTTCGTATAATTACCTTCCAGAACTGTCTTTCACGACTGCGTATCTTGTTTCAAATGTGGAAAGACGTCAATACACACCATTTTTCAAGTCCACCGACGTTAATCTACCCTCCTGTCTGGTTTGTTTGTCGGACAAAATGGCAGATTCGGCATTATGACTGGTCAGATCGCCTGTCAATCAAACTCTCTTCCCAGTCTGTCTCGAACATGCTGTTTAGGTCCCGTTTCAATGAAGACCCGCCTTCCGAAACACGAAATGTGCTCTGATTGGTCAGCTGGCCCAGTGCGTTGTGATTGGCGAAACGCTCAGAGCGAGTTCTGGAAATGACACGCCCCTTACCATAACCGCGATTTTCATCTGCTCAGCTGTAAATATTAACAATGTCGCCAATTTTGCCATCACAGTCTATGGTCTCTAACACAGCTCACCCAGGCAAAATATTTTTTTGCATATTCAGTGGGCGGGAATTATTTAAATGAGTGATACTGTAAAAAAGTGTGCTGTAGTCCAAACGAGTCGTTTGCTGTAGTTCTTGAAGTGTTTTCTGTTAGAGAGAATATTACCCTTTTGAGTGAACTTTGAGTTTTGTAGCCTTGCAGATCTTTTTTTCGCTCAAACAGCAACATTACACACTAACTAAAGGTGAAAAAAAGTGAAAAAGCATAATAGTACCCCTTTAACTACACCTGTAATGTTGTTAATCTCCATTTGTCTTTCAGAGTCTGATAACAGCTCACGACCAGTACAAGGCCACCCTGCCAGAAGCCGATAAGGAGCGCATAGCCATCATGGGCATCCAGAACGAGATCACAAAGATCGCTCAGACCTACGGCATCAAGCTGGTCGGAGTCAATCCGTACACGGTCCTCAGCCCACAGGACATCACCAACAAATGGGAGGCTGTGAGTACAGAGTACAAACACAGTCCAAAGCTCATGGCTAGTCATTTACTTCACTTCTGGACGCATAAAGAGACTCAGATGTGTGTTTCTGATCTGTCGCCCCCTGCAGGTGAAGCAGCTGGTTCCCCATAGAGACCAGATGCTGCAGGAAGAGGTTACCAGGCAACAGGCCAATGAGAGGCTGAGGCGCTCGTTCGCCGCTCAGGCCAACATCATCGGACCCTGGATTCAGACCAAGATGGAGGTGAGCTTATTCAACACGAAACCATGAGATGTTGGGGGCGAAGAACCAGATTTAAGGAAGTTACATTGGTATTAGTGTTGGGAAGTTACTAAAAGCAATAATCAAACGCGCTCTCCCAAACGTCCACTCTTCTTTTCAATCAACTGATTTGTTTTGCCAGTTCATATGCAGTAAATGAAGAAATCTGATGCAACATGCCACGAATGGACACTTTTCATTCATTTTACATTTTACTTTAATCTGAATAGCCATAATAGATTTGATTTAGTTTAGTTCTGCTGGGGCATTTTTTGCTCCTTTATCTTGAATTTGAGGGGCATTTTTGATCATTTTGGTTGCACTTTAGCCCCCATTAATTTCCAAAAACACAATTTTCAAGTTCATTTTAATTTTAGTTCGTTTTGGACATTTTGCTGTGTTTTTGTCATTTTTATTAGCGTTTTTTTTTTACTTTATTTTGAATTATTTTTATATTTTCAGTTTTCATTTTCATTTTAGTCAACATTTTGGTATTTTTGTCATTTTTATTGTTTTTTTTTCTCACTTTAATCTCGACAGCCATAATAAATTTAGTTTAGTTTTTCTAGTTTTAACTTAGTTTTAGTTATTTTTTTCTTGAATTTGGGGGGCATTTTTGATCATTTTAGTGGCACTTTTGCCTCAAGCCTCCATTCATTTCTGCAAACTTGACTTTCAAGGGTATCAGTTTTGGGAAGTAACTAAAAGTAAAGCATAAATTTAAACTAAATAAAAATATAAGTGTTTCCTTGCCGGCTAGCTTAAATTTAATGTTATTACGTTGTTGTTGTTTTACTTTTTCTTTTATTTGAGTTAACATTTATTTTATTTAACAAAAATGTTTTTTTTTTTTTTTTATGATTTTAGTTGTAGTTACTAACCACTTTAATTGCATTAAAGTATGGGTAGCTTTTAGTTTTTAGCTTGGTTAAGCTTCTCGACTTGTTTGCGATTTCATTTTTTTCTTTACAGACGTCTGTTCTTTCTCTTTTAATGCACATTTGTTCACCTATTCTCTCTCGGTTTGCTGTTATTAGGAGATCGGTCACGTGTCGGTGGATATCACCGGCTCTCTGGAGGAACAGATGAATAATCTGAAGCAGTACGAGCAGAACATCATCAACTACAAATCCAACATTGACAAACTGGAGGGAGATCACCAGCTCATTCAGGAGGCGCTCGTCTTCGACAACAAACACACCAACTACACCATGGAGGTATTCATACAGAGGATGAATGTTACAAACACAGGCTTCATTTTCAGAAGGATCACATCATTGCTAGTGCAAAATTTTGTTTTGTGTTATGGGGGCTTTTAAAAAGATCATTTAAAACACATATTGGTCCTATAGCGGGGTAAGTTGTCACAATGGGAACCTACCGTTTTATTGAATTCAAGACGAATGCCTTTATTTAAAATATAGCTAATATAGCTAAAGTAAAAAGAAAAAAAATCAATTTTCCATAACAGATATGTATTTAATGTTTTTATTTTAAAAAATATTATTTAATGATTTTTTTTAGCACAATTTGAATAGTAAAACTATTGTGAATCACACAAAAAAAAATCACATTTTAAATTTCTAGTTTTTTATAAATTTTTAGTTTTATTTATTTTAGCACATCAAGTGAACTGAATTACTGAATTGAATTGTAATTAAAAAACTGAATTCAAATGAGAAATGTTTACTAATCTAACTAGCTGAAATAAATATGTTATTTATATTTTATTTTATTTCAGTTAACGTGCATTTCATTTCAAGTAGTGAAAATGTTAAAATGGTTTTAATTTTAGTTAACTATAGTAACCCCGATAAAATCACTTTTAAAATTAATTTAAAACACATAGTAACCCTGTATTTTATATAAAATATAAAAACTAAGGTATAAAGTTCAAAACATGTATGTATTTAATGTTTTTAATTTTCTGTTCATTTTTTAAATACATTTTTAGCTAAATTTAAATCGAAAAACTTTTATGAATCACAAAGAAAAAAAATCTGCAAACAGCAAACAAACGAAAGGTAATTTACTTTTTTTTATTTTTTTTTTAACAATTCATTAATGATAAACCTGGTCTCCCCTATATATTTTAATGACAGTGTTCATAATAATATTTAGTTTAATAATAATATAAAGTTTTATTTGTATAATGCCTTCACCAAAATTAAAACAATTAACCAGAGCTTGCATAACAAATCCACATTACACACAGAACACTTAAGTGTTATGAGAGGAATGATGAATGTTCAAGAGCCTGCAACAATTCAAGATGGCACTGTTTCTGGCATCATCCGTCATTCCCCCCTCCAGCACGTCCGTGTGGGCTGGGAGCAGCTGCTCACCACCATCGCTCGCACCATCAACGAGGTGGAGAACCAGATCCTGACCCGCGACGCCAAGGGCATCAGCCAGGAGCAGCTCAACGAGTTCAGAGCCTCCTTCAACCACTTCGACAGGGTCAGTGAGACGCTCATCCACACTCATGTGTGACCGTATGCAAGGGGGACTCATTATTGTTTTTAACTTGCAGAAGAGAAACGGCATGATGGACCCCGACGATTTCCGCGCATGTCTGATCTCTATGGGTTACGATCTGGTGAGTGACGAGAAAACTCACTAACATTTCCCACTAACAACCATCTATATCAATGCTACAAGTGCACTGTGACAAAATCCTTCATCCTTACCAAACTACATGGCACATGCAGTTCAAAAATTTGGGATCGTTCACTATAGCTGCATTTATTTGATCAAAAATACAGTAAAAATAGTTAAATATTATTACAATTTCAAATAAGTGTTTTCTATTTGAACGTATTGTAAAATGTAATTTATTCCTGTGATCAAAGCTGAATTTTCATCATCATTACTCCAGTCTTTAGTGTCACATGATCCTTCAGAAATCATTCTAATATGCTGATTTGCTGCTCGAGAAACTTATCAATATTGAAAACAGTTGTGGGCTGCCTCATATTTTTGTGGAAAATGTGATACATTTACTTTGAGATTTCTTGATGAATAGGAAAAACAGCATTTATTTGAAATTGAAATTTTTGTAACGTTAAAAATGTCTTTTTAAAGTCAATTTTGAACAATATAATAAATCTTTGCAGAATAAAAATATTAATTTCTTTAAAAAATCGTAATGACCCCAAACATTTGAACTGTAGTGTATTTTTTAAATTCTCAAATACGTTGTCAACAGTATAAATAAATTTTTGTGTCATATTATTTGGAAACATGATTCAACATAAAAAATTTTTTTTAATAAAATAAAATAAATAAATTATTATAAACAATTTTTTTTTTATTAAAAAAATGTCCAAAATAAAGGTAGGCCTATCACACAGTTGAATATGTTGTTAGCCAAAAACTAATTTTTTTAATTGTTAATTTGTCATCTTTTTAAAAGGCTTATTTCTTTTTTAGTTAAGCATAATTTTTGCAGCAAACCTCATAATGAATCATTTATATTTTGCCAACATCTACCAGGAATAATTTCAATCTCAGTAGGTGCTGTGCTGGACACCAATAAGCACAGAATTAAATGTGTATCTTGAACCTGATTGGTCGTTTCTGTTAGGGTGAGGTGGAGTTCGCCCGCATCATGACCCTGGTGGACCCCAACAACACGGGAGTGGTGACCTTCCAGGCCTTCATCGACTTCATGACACGCGAGACCGCTGAAACAGACACTGCTGAACAGGTCATGGCCTCCTTCAAGATCCTGGCCTCCGACAAGGTGAGATCAAGATCCAGTGTTGCTTCTCTTTAATCCACGTGTCTGTATGGCAAGCCAATTTAACATTTAATCCTTTAAATGTACTATATCTATTTTCATGTGATTAGTACTGATTTTTTTAGCTACTAGTATCTATTCCATTAGGTGCTAGTACTTATTCATTAGCTACTACTGCTTATCCTTTAGGTACTAGTAAATTTTAAAAGAGACTAGTACTAGATACTAGTTCTTATTTTTTAGTTACTAGTACTAATATTGAAAGCTGTTTAATATTTAATCCTTAAAACATACTATCTATTTTCATGCTACTAGTACTGATTGATTTTTTTTTGTTTTGCTACTAGTGTCTGTTCCATTAGGTACTAGTACTTATTCATTAGCTACTACTGCTTATCCTTTAGGTACTAGTACATTTTAAAAGAGACTAGTATTATATACTAGTTCTTATTTTTTAGTTACTAGTACTAATATTGAAAGCTGTTTAATATTTAATCCTTAAAACATACTATCTATTTTCATGCTACTAGTACTGATTGATTTTTTTTTTTTTTTGCTACTAGTGTCTGTTCCATTAGGTACTAGTACTTATTCATTAGCTACTAGTGCTTATCCTTTAGGTACTAGTACATTTTAAAAGAGACTAGTACTAGATACTAGTTCTTGTTTTTTAGTTACTAGTACTAATATTGAAAGCTGTTTAATATTTAATCCTTAAAACATACTATCTATTTTCATGCTACTAGTACTGATTGATTTTTTTTTGTTTTGCTACTAGTGTCTGTTCCATTAGGTACTAGTACTTATTCATTAACTACTACTGCTTATCCTTTAGGTACTAGTACATTGTAAAAGAGACTAGATACTAGTTCTTATTTTTTAGTTACTAGTACTAATATTGAAAGCTGTTTAATATTTAATCCTTAAAACATACGATCTATTTTCATGCTACTAGTACTGATTGATTTTTTATTTTTTTTTGCTACTAGTATCTGTTCCATTAGGTACTAGCACTTATTCATTAGCTACTAGTGCTTATCCTTTAGACACTAGTAACTTTTTGAAGATACTTGTACATTAATTAGATACTAATTCTTATTTAATAGATACTAGCACTTATTTCAACAGAGAATAGTAATTATTTGACTGTTACTAGTAACAATTTTTACATTTTTGCCATTGAATTCTATGGGGATCGGCCATTAAGATACCAACAATTCAGTTCTGAGTAGTATGTATTCCAATAGCGACTAGCATCTTTTTATATATATATATATATATA